GAGCCCTACCCGAACGACGATAGCTAGAGAGCCGGGACTTGCATAATTTTGTAGAGTAACGTCCGGACTATCTACGCATGCAAAAAAATTACTAACATTGTATGTTAGTTTTCTGAGAACGGAGCTGTTTTTCCAAAGATCCCCAGGAAACCTGATCTTTGAAATTTTTTCAAAAGTTTCCGCTTGCAAAAAGTTCTGCTCAAGTCTTGGCTATCGAATAGCGAAAATCGCAGGTCTCTAGCTCATTCCTATGAAAAGTTATTCAAAAAACAGTTAGCCGCACTATATTTTGGTGCCGATAGTAGTAAAGATATTTAATCAGCTTTTTGTGTATAAGGTTACTGTAATAGCTTCACAATTCATAATAAAGGTTTTTGAGTATACATATAATTAATATGTTTGTTTGTTTTTTACAACTGCATAAACAGCAGCATCACCAATGTCTTCGTCATTGACGAAAGTCCGACAAGTACTTTCTGCACATCATAGTTAAGATAACCCATAGCGTCCCTTTCCCTCGCACTTAACTATCTAATGAAAAACTACAATAAAGGTCGACTCATCTCGTTCATTTTGATGAACATTTCAACAGCTTTGAAAGAGAGCAATTGAATTCATCGTCTTAGTATCGAATATTTATTGTGTACGTAAACTTACTTGATAAAACTTAAAGTATTACTCTCTCTTGTTATTGGTTGTCTTTCTTCTACTGCTTTGGATCCTTCTACATTGATAACATTTTTTTCTACTTTTAACTCACGTTTATTAATCTGAAAACCAGCCAACTTTTTATATAACAAATGAACTTTAGTGTAGCTGTACTTTTATTTTAAGTATGTAATGATGAATATTCTTTTCCTGTTCTTAAACAGTGACACGTTGCGTGTTCTTGCATAGTGACACGTTGGTTGTGAAATGAAATTACTCACTCTCTCACCTTTGTATATCCACCCTGACTCTACTAATAAGAATGTTTTATCTGTCCTCTATTTGGACAACGTTTGACAGACAGCGACACAAACAATTATATTTTATTATATACTGAAGAATGAACAGAAATCGTATGCGCTATGGTTGGCTTACGAGGAAACCTTTTCACGTGTCAAACTCAGTTTTTAATAATCTTATCCTAGTGGAAAACTTAAAAGGATTTTTCCCCATGGTACTTCTTTCAGAGTTATGAATTTGGTTTGGTTCGGTGAGAGAACAGATACAAAAAGGATCTACCAACAACAATCTTACAAAACCATCACACTGATGGAATAACTGTTATTCACTTAGAAAACTAATTACCTCACCGAAATAAATAAATTTTAGAAAGTGATGAGAGAAGATAGCTTGTCCATTAGGAAACATTTACAGGACCACATATGCTTAACCATAACTAAAGAAAAATGAATTATTGGAAAAACATGGTTGTTCTTAAGAACGAGGAGAATGCATTAGATTATTTTCTAGAGACGGTGAAACGCTGATTCTTTCCATGATGTTAACAGACTATTAAAACAATTCAAAATTCAGCTAAAAATTCGCTGTTTTTCAGATTTGAGCCAGAATTCATACGAAACCTACCACCATTACACCGAATAAACCAACAAAAACCGATCGATTGAGTGGGACATGTCTCTACAAGCTGCAATTTTCACAAGAAGTTAGCTACTTTTTTCTTTAGCTTCCAGCATCGTCTATGATGCATTTGAACAAAAAATATTTTTCAACACCAAAAAAGTTTATTCTAACCAAACCCTAAATTCTAGAGCCTTTTAGTCATTTTTATCAGCTATCTCGTTCATTTTATTACAATGGTGTCTATGTTTCAGTAGCTGTTAATACCATTGTACGATTAGTTATTCTTAGGGATGCAAAACATTAATAAATGATATCTAATTCATTGGGACTGAAACTTTAATTATCGACAGGAAATACATGAAAATTCATGTGAGATTTAAATTTTAAAAACCAGATTACACCCTATTTTTTACAAAGATTTTCGCAAGAAAAATGTTCCTTTTTTATATCTTTCACTTTCTACTTATACTAGTGCAAACAAGTTCCTACACTGGAATTGAACTTTACTTACTTTACATAGTTAGACTAAATTTTGACAGTAACCTTTATTAATTTAACAGAGTTGCCTCCCATTTGTGAAACACAGTTTTTCGAAGAACATTTAGGAGTTTTGCAAGGATAACTACTATTCTTCTTCTTCTTCTTTGGCTTTTGTAGAATTATGAAAGGTACGTTGTCATAAAAGAACATTTCTTTTACATTTTGTATTTAAGAGTTTTTGTTAAAAACTCTTTTTTGAACGTTGACTATTTTTAGATAAACTAAAACATAACACTTTTTACAAAATCGGAATTTAAATGGTTGATTGAAACTAAGCTATATTAAGAACGCCAAATATATAATTGGACTTTTCTTCACATAAAACTATTGAACAAACTCGAATGTAAAATGTTCATATGTATCATGTCCATTAAATCGATGTTGATGAGCTAAACTAACATGATCAACATTTGTTTCATCAGATAACATTGTTCGCCATGTACCTTTCAAATAATCATTACTATGAATTGTCATTGGTGGAACGTATAATGTGTGTTTTTTTGGTATGTGAAATGCTGTTAAATGTAATTCACTATTATTTTTATCAACGAACTTTCCTAATATAAAATAGCCACTATTATCATCTAACGGACAGTCCAAATGTGCAAAACCATGCATTTCCAATCCGCCGTGTCCATCGTTCTTAACATAATCTTGTACATAATTTTCATTATATACAAAATCTTGTAAACAATGTCGATGAGATAATGAAACTTTCGTTTGTGCACTACTAGCTAAACAACATCCATAATATGACAAATGCTCATTTGTTGCTATATCAACTGGAATTCTTCCATCAAATTCAGTTGGAAATGCACACATTCCAGATACATTCGGCTGAGAACATGATAACCAACGAACATTTTTTATTTGAGCGTGTTTTGGTTCAATTGTACAACATGCTAATTTATATAAATCATATTCACCAGGCAAAATATCTTCAACTAACTCACCACCTGTCAAAAGAAATTCGAGTTATAAACGCGTCAGTGGTTCGAAGCAGTGAAACAATTCTTTTATATATGAAAAATCATCTGAAATTTATTGATTTTACTCACGTCAGTGAATATTGCACTGAAACAGTTATACATCAGTTTTGATACCACTTCTCAGATGCAAACAAAACAAAGAAAATTAAGGTTAACTTTAGAGTTCTTGGATTATTTCTAACGAATGCACGGCTAGATACTTTATCAGAACCCGAGAATATCATCGAACGCGGTTCTGCATGGCTATAGTATAGTGGCTCTTGCGTAGTACATTTCCTATCGCTTGGCTGCAACCGGATTTCCCGATTTTTGTGAATCTACTCATTATATGAAAAGTGAAGTGTAAGTCTACAAGAGGAAAATCAGATAGCAAATTCAAAAATTCATCTCTGTCATTGACCTTATTCAAACAGTTTTAGATGAACAGTGATGGACGGATTTGGTGTGAATGCAGAAAGTGAGGAAATTGGTGATTACGGATGAGGCGACAGTCAGCTAGTACCAGAAGCATGCTAGATTAATCTTACGCTTTTGGTGAAGATCTTCAACTTTGATCGTCTTAATTCATGACGCCTGTTTTTCCGCTTTGGCGTGATGGCTAGTCTTATGTTTTTGCAGTGTATCTAAAAGTGTTGCTGGATACCAGCATCTTCTACTTCTGCACTTATAGTAAAAAATAATCAAATTTTTGTACTTATTGAAAAAATTTATAATTCTTTTTTATTTGAGACAGTTTTACTGTATTTCTACATTTCTCCCAAGAATAGGATCAAAAGAAACTATGCCATCACCACCGCCAGTAGCGTCACTATTCTTTAACTTGATTTTGTGACATAAAAAAGTTGACGAGACTTGCCTACCTCTGAAAAAGATCCTTTACTTTTTTTAGAGCACACAAGGGCAATATTCAAGTATGACTACAACCTGTAAGCACATAACTGTTGAATTGTCAGAAAGTACACTTGCAAACGGTAAGGTCGCTAATTCTAGTCTCTTTTGGGTCTGGACATTCATTCTGTTATTTCTAAGGCACGATATAAAACCTTTCATTATTAAGTATGTTATGAAACCTCGAACATGAAACCTTTAGTAATATTACTAAAAGAGCTAGGCATTTCGTAAACGAACCACTAACTGTTTCAAACAAATTTCATTTCAAAAATCAAACTTACAAATGTCTACTAAAACACCATTTTTAGATGGTGGGGAAAACAAAATTCAACAAAGATTCATGTTTACTGACCTGTCAAGACTGGGCCACCGCTTTTACCAAGTCTTTGAAAATTATTGAAGTTGATCCAACGTTGTGCTAAATATTCAGTTATTTCATTACAATCAATATTTTCCAATAGACTTTGCATTCGGGTTGAAAATTCTTCATTATTTTCTAATTTGTCTGATATTTGTCGTTCAAGCTTTTGTTTAAACTTCTCCATTCGACGTGCATCTTTTGGTTTATTGTCTAAATTTGAATCTAATTTTGATTTATGAGTAATTCTTGATAATAGAAAATGATATAATTCATCAAAAGTTAATCGTTTTTCATCTTTTTTAATTATTTTATCAAATTTAAATCGTTGACTTTGTTTGGATAGGCCTAATTTTTGTATTAAATTAACAAATTCGTCTTCATCAACATAACCATCATGATTAACATCAACATGATAAAATAATGTTCGAATTTTATCTTTAATTACGTTATCATTATTATGACTGTTAATCGACTGTGTCGTTGAAAGTATTTGTGAAGAAGCAGACTCTGATAGTGATAATAGCTAATAAATTAATTGTATGAGTTCAAAAATCATTATTTTAAAATACAGACCGTGCGATTACAACTGTAATCATCATCATCTATATAAATATATGAACAATAGGTACAGGATATATATTAGTTCATCCGTCTTTTCTCTTCGATTCTTCAGAGATAATACCATTTCTGTTACTAAAAGCACTGCAAAGAGGAGGAAAATGTAAAAGACGTGATCATTGCAGTTCTCATAGTAATAGAAATATTATTATCTCCGAAGAATGGAAAGAAAAACCCGGACGAACTAATATATATTCTGTGCCTATTGTTCATATATATGTATAGCTCATAGTGATTACAGTTGTAATCGAAAGTTCTATATTTCAAAGTAAAGCGAATAAAAGAAAAAAGTTCTTTATCTAGCAACGTACGGTTCTGAAAACGTCAAGTCTTACATTTTTCAAAGGAAACATCTCTCGGAACACTCGGAGAGATTATCAGCGGTGGTATACGTTTTGTCAGACGACCCTAAACGTCTTCACTGCACGTTGTTTATCCAAGAACCTTGTATAGTTGATTAAAGTCAAGGTTACCCACTGGTATATAGACCATTAGATTTTTTCTCAACATTATTTGATTTACCTACCCTGACTGCGGTGGATCCAGCCACCTTGGTCAAATCGGAATCTGAGTATGATTCAAATATTTTTGATAGTCCTAGTTGTTGCTTGCAACTTTCTTGGTGTGCAGTTGAATTTGTTAGATCATTGACACTTGAAACTGTGAAGCTTCTGTTCTTTTGTTGATTTGCTTGGTTCACTCCATTCGATGTGCGAACTGCTGTTGATATCTGATCTTTTCTTGTATCTTTATTTGTCTTTAAAATTGATTCTTTTTCTGTCAGAATTTGATCTTTTGAGTTATAATGAACACATTGATGTTTAGAACATTCTTTACAGTAGTCAGGTTGATAATATTTTGGTTCAAAACTTGTACATGGATTATCTTGTTGCTGCATTTTTTTTTGTTGAAGTATAAGTGCAATTGATGGTCGACGAATAAATAAATCTCTTGATTGACAATATCGTTTCAGATCATTTGTTTGTTGTATAGTTTCATCTTCACTTGAATCATTTTGACTGCAATAATTTGAATGAATGCGCATTGACAATACTGGATCTTGATAAATTAATTGTTTCGGTTGTTGAAGATACATACTGTTAAAAGTTTTCAAAGCGCAAAAATATGTAAAGTTGTTTAATAAAATTCACTTTCCTCTGTAAAGATTTTAAAATGACGAAAGAAGCCTTTTATATATGTGGTTTTTATAAGAATTATATAATTATTTTCTTTCCCGTTTATTTGAAATGTTTTCATGACGAATGTATAAGATATGGTAGAGACCCGATGTCATGGTTTTTGTTTTGTTCTCTTCCTTGTTGAAAGCCTATAGACACTGACTCATACATAACTTTTTCTAAGCTGTGTACGTTTTGTTTCGTAGAAATAAACTCTGAAATTTTCCGACTACACTTAACAGAATGTGGGTGTATTGCAGATAGTTCACGTCAAAAATCAACGGGAAATATCCCGTTGAATATACAGATCTGTAACAAAACAGCAAAAGTCGGGCTGAATAAACGAACGCTCATCCCATTCAACGAGAAATTACGACTACGTGTTCTTTGGTAGCAAAAAAACTCATTCATTAAATTCTGCATTCAGAGTTACCCATGAATCCATAATTTTAGACTTCAGAAAATTTGCTCCATCAGCCACTCAATTTTTAAGAAAAGCCCCAATTGTTTTTGGTTAAAACACACATTTTGATATGTTGACTTTTTTATTCTGTCTTCTTTCTTATAACCCTGAGCTATATCTCCGTTAAACGAGAGAAAAAGCTGAACAATGTGATAGTTTAACATCTTCAAACTAAAACGTAAGGCAGAAAAATATCAAACAAGTGAACCATTTTAAATTAATAAAAGCAAAGTTTTGACTTAAATCGATCATTTCAAGCGTCAAGTTTAGGAAGAATGGAATTGTCCCCTTGTAGAAAGTTTCGTCCGCTATAAAATGAGTTATTTTGCATCGAAATTGAAGGTGAGGAACGTGTTAAATTGCTTTCGAATGACTATCACTTCAAGTAGTATTGGTCAGAATTCTGTTGGCAACGTTATTTTTGACACAATAACGATTAATTAACAATACATTAGACTTAGTGATGTCGGAATAACATTTATATTACACACTTTAGGTCTGTTGATGAGACGAATTTGTTAATTTAATACAAAAATTAGGCCTATCCAAACAAAGTCAACGATTTAAATTTGATAAAATAATTAAAAAAGATGAAAAACGATTAACTTTT